GAATGCCAGAATCCACACCAGCGGCGACTGACAGCCTCACACTCTCTTCAAACATCGTGTTCATCCTCGCTGTTCCAAGTCGAGGACTCATGTAAAGTTGATAATTCCGTAGAAGATGCTAGAAGAAACCTTCCTGCAAAGCGACAATACTGTGGAAATTAAAACATCATGTTTCAGAGACACTACATGGCCAGATCACTTAGTTTGTTTTTGCTATTATTTTAAGTGTAATAGGAATTGGTATTTTTTTTGTCACATTACTGTTGTCACCTTTACATAAAAGTAGTAAGTGATGATTTCACCATGGTTAAAGCTGTAATAAAGACCTGTAATAAAGTGCACACAGTGTTTCAGTGGTAAATAAAGACAGCACAAAAACATACACCACTCTTAAGAACCCTTTCTCTTCTACTCGGCCAGGCATGAGTACAGATCAAAGCTCTTGACTCTTGAACAGACCGTTCATATTGGCACTGAATAGGACGCGCACTGGTGCTTCACTGCCAGAATAGGGCCTGTCAGTGGGTCGTCACCGTTACAAGTGCCTTTAAAAGCTCACAGTATGTCCACACTAGTGGTTTCAGTGTCACTGCGTGTAATGTTGATCACTGAGGGAGATGGCAGAAAGCGTGTCGGAGGCGGTGTACGGAATCGTAAGTACAAATCGGTGTTAGTCATAAACAGGAAGCCATTAGTTACAGTTCATTAAACCAAACTCTGTCGCCATGGAAATGTCTATTTTGGGTTCATTTATTTCCTCGAGAGTGCTGTTAGTAATCTTATTCTGACATTTTTAACCAAACTGCTGAAAAAATTATTTAAAAAATAACAAAGACGTCTCCAGTTGAATCTGATAATACCACTTAAGAAAAGTGGTTCACTGAGTGGTTTAGTCTTTCAGTTAAATACAGTACATTTAGAAAATATTGAAAGACTATTATTGTCAAATTTCATTGCAGCTGCCAATTTTTCCCCACATTAGTCTGCACTCAGGAAAAATACAATTAATACAATTGTTTTATTGGATGGACAGGGTTGGTATTTCTTAGCATAAAAAATATTTCAATCCGTTTTTAAGATCTCAAATGTATAATTAAAAAACTGACATTTCAATTGTGTACATTTATATGTGTGTATATATTTTTCGATTCATAAAAAAATAAAAAGTATGTAATTTAAAAAACAACAACTAAAATAATACGTTTAAAACAACGCAGTTTGGTAAATGGAAACTACATTTGCTTATTTTATTCATTTATCGCTTTACAGATTGTTTCAAAGCAGCTTCACAGTAGTAAACAATAAGAAACAATTATAAAAAAAAATCCAATTTCATTTGTAAAGCAGCTCAACAGAAGATAATAGTGTCATTATTCATATCAAGTCAGTTCAGTCAAATAACAGTGCCAAGTTCATCAGTTTTTTCATATTAATTGTCTTTTAAATCCCAATTGAGCAAGCCAAAGGCGACAGTGACAAAGAACAAAACCATTAGATTGCCATGGGCAGTTCTCATCTGGCCAAAAGATCAAACACAGTATGAAGCACCATATGAACGCTAAAAAGGTTTAAAAGCAATTATCCTCTAGGTAATACTTAATATTGCTGCCAACACACACTTTTTCTCGCTGTCTCGATTCACAGGTTTTGAGCTCAAACACACCTGGCATGGACACAATCCCAAGGCTTCGCTCAACAAGTGAATTTCACACACATGCTATTTTTTCCACTTGCCTTCGCAAACAATGCCAAGAAAAACATACTTCACTTGTTTGTCTCAATACGGTCTGTCTATATAACTAGCTGTATCCACTCTTTCTCAACACTTTTTTTTTTACAAATTTACTAAGAAACAGCCAAAGGAAGAATGAAAGGGAATTTTGCAAAGGCCAAATCAAAGTCCAGATCTCATTCAAGCTTAATCTAATCTTAATCCATAGAGCATAAATCACATTTACACTGACATAACGCTAATGATAATAAATCAGTATCAGATAATAAATCAGTAATTTATCTAATTTGGTCAGTGTTTGCCAGAAGGCCTCTAATGTGCAGCAGATTTTATGCGTAACATTGCGAACAAACATTCTGAAAAAATTTCCTGACGTGAACACTTGGTAAAAAGGACAAGGTAACAAAATATTTCAGATCTTTTCTAAAAACATTCAGGTTTAAGATAGTTTAATTTATTTATTATTATTATATATATACATATATATATATTTTTTTTTTGACATTGTGAAAAGAATCGCATTTCATCTTAAGGAAAATGTCTTCCAGAATGTCTTGAGCCACAAAATAGAAAAGGTTCATAGTTAAAGTTGATTGAATTTGAACTATGAACCTTTTCTATTTTGTGGCTCAAGACATTCTGATTACACTTTTTAAGTAATAGTTCAATACTTTTATGGTCAAAAATGCTGGTTGATGCAACTGTCTTGGAATCATAATAAAGAAACAAGCCTCATTAAAAGAATGAGATTTTTTTTATATTTTTAAAGAAAATTAGTTTGGCATATTTTTTTATTAGTGATTTTTTTAGGGTGAAAAACAGTTGTGTTTAAAAAAAAATTGAAAAAACATTTTACGCTATATGTTCAATGGTGCAGAACAAAACAGGAAATGATTTGTGCAAAAAGCAGTGCAGATGCCTCTGTCCCACTCATTGGTTTCATACGGATTACATAATCAGAGAATTTTGTTTTTTTTTACTTGAATTGGTTCATTTAAATTTCACACTTCAAGCTTTTTCTAAATATTATTCTTATCTTGGCTGAGGCACGTATATGCTAAGTTTCGGTTCATTTTTCTGACGCGCTCCGGAAAAGAGACCGAGACGGCAGAAAGCACATTTTTGTTTACTTTATATTACAAAAGGACCAGATTTTGTTGTTATTGTGAGTGTATACAAATAAAAGAAGATGTTGTGAATTATGTCTTACTCTTATCGGTATGACCACAAATGATTTTAGAACTATGCGTAGCACCACTCAACATTTCATACAAAATAATCACAAAACGCAGCCTTCATCAATGGCTCTTGTAGTCTCACTCTCAGTTGTAATATTTCTAGGATTTTCTTTTTTTGTGTGAGGGTCCTGTAAAATACGACGTGCACTTTTCTTCAACTCGGCTAGCTGTACAATTCATGTTGAAATAATTGTGTTTAGTGTAATTTTGAAAAACCTGGCATGGATTAAGGCCGCTGGAATCAGTAAACACGGAAATGTCATCTCTCATCACAGGAGCAGCGAGAGTTAAAGTTCATTACTGATTTTATTATCGCCTAAACATGCTTGTTGAAGCGTTTTATATATTTTTATTCATTTATATAGCTTTTTATACAATACAGATTGTTTCAAAGCAGCTTTACGGTGATGAAAAAATGATGCATTTTGGCTGTTCAGCTGAAGATCCGTTATAAAAATCATAAATTATGAAATTAGTTCATTTCATCTATAAAGAAGTTCTACAAAAAACTTATGCCATCGTCCAGCTCAGTTCTCAAACAACAGTGTCAGTACAGTCAGATTCATAATATTGTTGAATGTTAAAAGGAATATTTCACTTCAAAATGAAAATTCTGTCATCATTTACTCAAGTTGTTTCAAACCTGTATAAATTTCTTTATTAGGCACAATTCGGAAGATCTTTTGAAGAATGTCGGTAACCAGACAGTTGATGGACCCCATTGACTTTCATAGTAGGACTATTTGGTTACAGGCACTCTTCAAAAGATCTTTCTTTGTGTAGAAGAAAGACATTTATACAGGTTTGAAACAACTTGAGGGTGAGTTAGCGACAGAATTTCCATTTTGAAGCATTTTTTAAGTTAGTGAGAGAAAAATGGAGAAAAAAAAAAAAAACCTTGTGAGAAACCAGGCCAATGAACAGCGCAGCCGCAGTCTCATCCGAAGACGTCATATAACTGACGTCTTGGGACGTCTTTTGACCATACGTCAATATCCGCCTTTTTAGGGCCCCTTTAAATGTCGGTAGATGACGTTATGGGATCCTAACCCTAACCCCAGACCTAAACCTACCCCGTCACCTAACTGACGTTAAAGGTAAAGCGTCAGTTCAACATGACCTCATGACTTTTGCGTAAACGCCAATTTCGAGTCAAGTGGCGTGTTATCTCGACGCATTTTGAGTTATCCGCGTGTATCCGTGTATGTCTACGCCATTAACGTCCGCGTCATTCCGCGTGTCTGTACAAGCCGTCAAATGTCAGAGCAAAACAAAGCAAAATGTCGATCTACATCTGGAGAGCTATGTTTTTTTTTCCTAGAATGGTAAAGGAACAGTCATAAATGGGATTAACCCCAGTGACGGGTAGGTTTAGGGACGGGGTTGAGGTAAGTCATATATTTATATACAGTAATAACGTTAAGTCAACGGTGTTCATAAACACGCTGAAAAGCGATTATGCGTCTTGATAGCACGCCAAAAATGGAAATACGAATTGGCGTGTCATACATACGCTACTTCATGAGATCAGTCTGGTCAGTTGTATGACGGCCCGGGATCGTCATCTACCGACGTTTAAGGGAGCCCTAAAAAGGCGGATATTGACGTATGGTCAAAAGACGTCCCAAGACGTCAGTTATATGACTTCTTGGGATGAGACTGTGTTACAATGAACGAACACGGTGTGATTATGAATTACGTTGCATCACGGGATCGAATGCATTCAAATATTCATCTATTGATCACCATCGAGGGGGAATAAATTAGATCCCCAGCGGCGATACAATCCCCCTCAGCGAATCACACCCTGGTGTCAAGGTCAATACATCTCCAAAAATATCAGATCATTTGACCTTTTTATAAAGCGGCAAGGCTATTCATGTTGTAAAATATCATGTGGTGTGACTCCCCAATAATGTGTTTACCTTCCCACAAATGCAGGTGTGTGTTTTGGCTGGAGAAATCATCAGGGTTTTCTGAATGTGATATCAAAAACAAACGGCTATTTCACTGCGACAAATCTGAGCAATGCATTTTTTCATGAATCTTTAGAGTATATAACCGATTGAAACTCTAGCCACATGATGTGCAGTGGAATGGCTTCTCTCCGGTACGCAACCTCTCATGAGTTGTCAGGCTTCCTGACTGTGTGAAACACTTTTCACAATATGAGCACTTGAAAGCTCTTTCTCCGGTATGGATTCTCTGGTGCCTTTCCAAATCACTGGTACTAAAAAAGCCCAGCACGTTCACCAATATGTGCTTTCTGGTGGGTTTCCCAAAGTGAACGTGAGCTCGGCTCGTTTTAATGGATCTCCCTGTGTGTTTGAGGTGAAAATCATGCCGCTCTGATCACAGTTCAAGACAGAGTGAGCGCACATGTGATTTTGTAGTCCTCTTGCCTGTGTGAAACTCTTCTGAAAGGTCTTTCTCCAGTGTGGATTTTAATGTGGGTTTTGAGTCTTCCTTTACGTGTGAAACTCTCTCCACACTGTTCACATGTGAACGGCTTCTCTCCAGTGTGGATTCTCATGTGCGCAGTAAACGTTCCTCGACGCGTGAACCCTTTCCCGCACTGGAGGCACGCGAAAGGCTTTTTCCCAGTGTGGACTCTCATGTGCGTCTGCAGTCTTCCTTTATGGGTGAAACTCTCTTCGCAGTGACGGCATTTGAACGGCTTTTCTCCAGTATGAATTCTCAAGTGTGTCTTGAAGGCTTCTCTACGTGTGAAACTCTTTCCACACTGAGGGCATGTGAACGGTTTCTCTCCGGTGTGGATTGACATGTGATACTTGAGGCTTCCGTTCACCGTGAAACACTGTCCACACAGGGAGCAGGTGAAAGGCTTTTCTCCAGTGTGAACTTTCATGTGCCGTTTAAGATATTGTTCACATGGGAAACTCTTCCTACAATGAGAACAGGTGAAAGGCTTTTCTCCCGTGTGAATTCTCATGTGGCGTTTAAAGTTTTGTCTCGCAGAAAAACTCTTTCCACACTGCGCACAGGAGAAAGGGTTCTCTGCGTTGTGAATCCTCATGTGGCGATTAAGGTATGTTTTACATTGGTAACTGTTTCCACACTCGGGGCAGGTGAACGGCTTTTCTCCAGTGTGGCTTCTAATGTGCATTTGAAGTCTTCCCATAAATGGGAAACTCTTCTCACACTGAGTGCAGTTGAAAGGATTTCCTCCGGTATGAATTCTCATGTGTGCCTTCAGGTTTCCTTTAGTAGTTAATCTCTTTCCACACTGAGGGCAAGCGAAAGATTTGTTGGCTTCTGTTGATGTTTGTGAGGAATTCGGTTCGGTGTCCGAGCAGCTCGTATCATTTTCTCCACTTGCGAAATGATGAGGTTTCTGATACTGATGCTTCTCCTCCACTTCGTTCAGGTCTTGACGTTCCCCTCTGAGTTCCTTTTGATCTAAAATCAATATAAACTTGTGAATACGATGGTGAAATATGAAAATAAATTAAACAAGCCTGTTATCTGTTTCATATACTACCATTACTACAATCAAAAAAGTTGTGTCGCGCGTGTTAATTGCGCATTTTTAAATGCGTCAGTCTTTTTTCTATTAATTTCTTTAAATTTAAATCCTTCAAAATCTGGTAAAGTGGCTGAGGTACATTAAGTGAATGTTTGGAAACCAATAAATGAGTCATTGACGATATCAATATGTTTTTGTATTCAAGGTGCAAGGAGCATGTATAATTTTTTTGCTTGATGGTTAAACCAAATTACATTTTTCATGAAATAATAGTTTTTCAAAACCACAAGAACTTGGCACATGTGTCCTTTTCATTAGAGACTCTTAGTTGTAATTTAACCAGAGTGGTTTGATAAACCATAATCTAAGAAAAAAAAATTATTGACATTATACACATCCTCATATGTCTTTATGCCACCCCATTAATATTGGTCATAATAAATGTTTTGTAATTATTGAAACAATTAAAAACAACTTTCATTTCCAAAAAAAAAAAAAACTGTAACCCATATTTTGTGCAAAAACAACACCATATGATTTATACAAATAATAATTTTAACACCCAAGAAGTAACATGGTTTGAAACAGTAACTCATGCTAAAAGAAAAATATTTTACACTCTATTATATGGTAAATATAACTTAGGCTTAATGAATTAACTGCGCACCAGCACTTTGTCACTGACAAGACCATATCATAAGAATGACAAGTTCTCTGAAAATAGGTTGCCATAATATTCATAATTATCAGGAATCATTAGTGAAGAATCAAGAATGTCCACAAACCTGTTTTATCCTTTGAATCTTCATGTTTCATTCTGTTTGCTTCTGGATAACCTTCACTCTCCTCCTTAATAAAAGACATCTTTCAACAGTAACGTTATGTCACAGATTTCAGCTTTTGTTTGTTCCTGCTTGTTTCGAAGTGTGTCTTCACGTCGCCTGAATACTTATATACGCACTAAAAGTAAATGTTACGCAGTTAAAATAATGTACGCACTATAGAATGTGGAATAAGGTTGAGAAAGTCAGAAACTGGACATTCCTACTTGATATCTCCGTCTTGAATGTTTACCATTCTATCCCGCCATTTGTAATGACGTCACGCCACCGTCGAGGATGCGTCACGATACGGAGGCGTGGCTTGACAGCATCTGCTTTGACTCTGTTCAAAACTACTGTAATATTTCCCAGTCCTTTAGCATCAACGAATCAGTCTGTTAATATAGTAGCACATCACATAAATAATTGGAATATTTCGATGTATTTATTTATTTACTTTGGTACATTTGAACTGTACATCCAAACATAAAACATTTGAAAAACTCACTTCTTAAATGTTTATGTTAAATAGCTACGTGAAAGGTATAAATGTAAATGAAGTGTAAATGAGTTTTTTTGTCCTGTTATTTTTATCTTTTGTTTTCTTCTCTTTACAATGAAATTTATTTGTATCTATATAATTTTTATATATGTATTTATTTTATAGGCTACACCTACATTTACAAAAAAAATAAAAAAAAATAAATAAAAAATACGGGACCTTGTCAGAAATTAGCATGTGTTACTCAAATGTTACATGATCTAGTCATGATTTGTGCAACCAAACACTGAAGTCATTTCAAGCGTTTGATATTTTTGGTGAGCTTTGGTATACTTTTAGAAAATGTCTTTAGAAGTATGTAATAACATTTGAGTCATTACTAGCCTATGTGAACAGGGCTTAAGCCTTCGCAATCTTCCTCCGAGTCCACACTTTCGTGACGTAAAGCTGCTGTTCATAAACAACCAAAAATGACAAATGGGACACACTACGGTCTTGTGGACTTCACAGAACTTAATGAAGTGTGCCATTTGGGACAGGGCCCAACTCACACTTGGGTGTGAAAATGATTCAAATGTTTTTTTGTTTTTTTTTCTACGTCATTAAGAAAACACATGTGAGAAATGACAGTGGAGATGATTTAGCTTGTGTATGTGTGAGAGTGCACATGCAGTGTAATTGTGCAGAGTGAGTGCTATCAGAGCGGCAAATGACTATCCACTCTCTCGGACCGTGGCAAACGTGCCCAGTGTGAAAGCCCCCTGAGATTCATAAAAAAAGGTCATGTTAATGCCATCAGATCTGGTAGATACTTGCAGGGGACCACAAGATGATTTCACATCCACAAAAAACATTTGGGTCAATATTGAGACCATTTTGGTCCCAACTGAAAAAGAATGCAATTCACAATGACTTGAATATACCTCTTTTATGAGCATTTTTTTTTTAAATTCATCAATTAAAACAGTAATATTGTGTGTGTGTGATAGCAAGATTTACGGTAAATCCAGAGGATCACTTAAATCATTATAATTCTTGCCTTGGTCGTACTTTGAGGTGGGATTTGTCGTCAAAATTAAAGTGACGAAGACACCAATGTATATTCAGGTTGTTTCAAAAAAAAATTTGTAGAAACTTTTAAAGTTATATAACTGTCCGCAGTTACCATCAAGCAGACGATAAAGTTCATCTGTGTAAATTGAATCCTTTTAAGACAAACAAGTGGTCTGTCTGTATGTCTGTCTATTTAGTCTATCTGGTTTCAATTAAATGTATTAGATAGATTAACATTGAGAAATAAAAAAATATATATGGATTTGTATGTGATGCTTTGTCATGCGACCAACATGTAAATGACTCATACGATATGCCAAATGCATAGCGTAAATACTGCTTCTTTTGAACAAATGGATCAAATTCAAATTCGCATTGCATTTAAATTGACTACTGGTTGAATTAAAACTGACAGGCCCACAGTTATAATATTTAAACACACACACAACACGGTGGCACCCTGAGAGATGTAGGCCTACACATTTAATATGTCAAATGCAATAGCCTACTGACTGATTAATTGCTTTCATTTTGCACAGCCACTGAACAAATGCTAAGTTATGCACTGCATTGTTGTTTTTTTCTCTGCCTTTGATAGCTAACAACAAAACATTCAAAACATTTCATCTCCTCCCTGTCTTCTAAATCCATTCCCTGGCTGTTTATATATATTTTGTTTAGTTGGCACCAACTTTGACATGAAGTTAACTTATGTGTCTCATGGAGGTTATAATGGTCATGTATGTTCTAACATCCAGAAAAAAAGAAAGAAAAACTGATTTAGAACAAGAAACACAAAATTTGGCTTCACAGCACTGAATGAATTCAATAACTTCAGATTAAAAAATTGGACCGTAGTAGCAAACCCGAGCAGATCGATCAATATTTGACCTCCATGAGAATCATAAGTTGATATGGCAAAGCCAGTGTCGACTAAACAAATTAAAGCTGTTCAGTCACTGTGGCAGTTTGTAGACCAACCTGGAAGACTAATTGAATTATAATTCATGACGACTTCACTCTGGAATTATCTGAGATTTTTATTATTATTGATTTTTTCAATGTATTAGTAAAATGTCTTAGGCAAGCATCACTGTTAATACTGGTCAACCATATTTCTGCTTGTTTTGCTGTTACTTTTCGCTTACAATTCATACATTGTAATACATTCATTGTTAATTTCTAAAGTAATTTTTTTTCACAAAACAGGATCTAATGAGATAATTAACAAAACACACCTGAACTGAAACTCAAATCAATTAATAACTAACTTTACACGTTACCGTTTTAAACTAAAAATGTAAAACTTTTTATACGTTTGGGCCGTTCATTTAGGCTATGTTTAGACGGAAACGATCTGAAGAGAAAATGCAAAAGTGGCGTTGCGTTATCACTTTTTATTCTACGCATTATTCAACGCATATTCTGTACATATGGTGACGCAAAAGTGTGTGAAATTCGATGTAGTATGCACTCCAGGCAGCTAGGTGGCAATGTGAAGCACTGCCACACAACAACACTGTTTAACTGACTTTTGCATTTTACCAAGCGGCAACATTCTAATCTGAAAAATGAAGCCTACCCAGAAGTGCGAAAAACTGCAATACATCTAAAATCTGCTAGAGGGAGGTCCCAAAAGGGAGCAAACGTCCATAGACCCCATTTTAAAATGTCCGTTTTCACAGCATACATTCATGCTTTTACAGTTTGGTCCCATTGACTTTTATTGTAATCTTCAATATGTTCCGCGTGCCTGACAACTGTGAGGGAGGTGAATTTTTTTTCGAACTCGATCATATTTAGATATAAAATGTATGACAAATAAGGGCGGTTAACTTTGATTGACAGCTGATAACGGGCTGCGCCGAGTGAAATTTGACGTCTCAGCCATGATCTGACACAACACATCATACCACCTCTGTATCCTTTCTGAACATTTGTATTTTGTATTTTCCAAGATTTTCCAAGATGGCGCTGACCATACCCCCCATAAACAGCCTCAAAACTGAAAAAAAAAAAAAAAAAAAAACAGCCTCAAAACTGTTCTTCTGTTGGAGAAACTGTTCTCCACTGTGTGACGTCACAGACGCTTTGTCCATATTTTTTACAGTCTATGGTTTTTACCCTATAGACAGGAACACGACATTGGAGCATTTTTAAGATTTCCACTCTTTGGGGTGGTTTCACTTTTTTTTTTTTGCGTTTTTAAGCCCCCAAAACGCCGTCACCATGTAAACGAAAGGCACATCTGCTAAAATATTTTTACGTTTTCACCCTCAAGCATTCTCGTGTAAACAGGGCCGGAAAGCACAAACTTTTTAAAATGGGTTTCAAAGTGCAAGTTTTTGAAAACAGTCTCTATGTAAACAACGAAAAAGCAAATCTTTGAAGACAATGTGTATTACGTGTTGAGTCTATAGTGTTTCATCGCCATCTAATGGCCTGGCAGCAGAATACAACTTTTTTAGTTGTTTTTTTTGATTCGTGTGAATGGGGATCGTTTTGACAATGGTGTCGTCTGAATGCGGAAAACTCAAAGGAAAAACTTATCCGGTTTAAGCATATCGCTGTCATGTAAACGTAAACAGATCAACAATAAACTCTACACATGAACAATCAAACTCAACACATGACAAATTTTGTAACAACTGAATGGAGATTATCAAACTATCATAAGATTTGTGCGTAATTGACAGCACAAAAGAACGTGGTCAGGCTTATTAATAAAAATTCTGTCAGAAAATAATAATAATTGTATTAAAAGCCACAAACAAACATTTCCAAACAGTTTTGTTGCTGTGGTGCTTTTTGCAGGATGGGATAGTCCACTGTCCTGAATGAAAATCCTTTTATTTCCGAAGGCACTATCCTTATTTTTATATCAGAGCAAAAAATGATCAGTTGTAAACGCCACATATCCTGCAGAACTCATTTTGACAACCCGAGAGACCCCTAAAGGGAGCTTCCATCTCACTTCCCAAATATTACGACCTAAATCATCACCCACGAGCTCTTCCCCGCAGTCTTGTTGGAACGTGGTGGCCTCTAACCAACCATCCAGAAATCCATCTATCTCTAGACATTGTAGTACGGCATCCGTTGGTCAATTATTTAAAAATGAGTGTTCATGTATTTCTACATCCACTGTTAATGTTTTTGGTTAGAGGCGGCTGAGTTTCTTCTAGAGGAAGAGAGAATGTGAGGCGAAGTGATGCCAACGTAGTAGAAGAGAAAAGAGACTTCACAAACTCTATCAAAAAGCTAAGGGAAAAAAAACTCAAACTCATTTCTCGGTCTGTTTGTCCATGTATTATTCTCTTTTCTCAATTATCATAAGTCTTTCAGCTGTAAAATAGCTCTCTATATCGTGTTCCTTCACACTTTGACTTCATTTTAGCTTCACTGATGACGGGAGCAACTAAAAGGTCTGAATGACCACAAAGGACACACTTTAAGACTTCCTGTGTCTTGAATGTTCAGCCTAATTTGATTTACTCAGCCTGACAAACCAAATCTTTATTACTTTATTTTTCTTTGGTAGAACACAAAAGGAATTTTCAAAAATATGATATTTTTAACTTGAAATATTCACAAGTCACACAAACTGCTTTTATTTTTACAATTTTAGCAGTTATGTTCTATGTATGGACTCTTATGTTGATTTTCCTTTGGTTCCCATGTTTCCTTCAGGTGCTTAGTTCCTCTTC